ATTACAATTCTGTTTTTTACATAATTGTACTTGATAGAAAAAAAAATAATATATATGAGCAAACATTTACAAACAATGATTTAATCTGAGAAATCGTTTACAACTGTTGATCAGACTTGGGTAGTATTCCAAATACTTTTTAAATACTTTTTTTTGAAAGTATTCAGCGCGGTATTTTGAATACTTTTTACAAGTATTCTGAGTACAGTATTCGGAATACTTTTTTTCCAATAACATTTTAAAAATAATTTCATTATTTTTCCGTCATAGAAATTGCTTTTGTACTTGTATAGGTATATTTCCTTTATATACGACCATGCAAAATATTTTTATAGTAATATGTTTAATATATTATTATTATTTTATTATTTTCTACTATTTTTAGTTGGCCAGATATGGTATTACCATTGATTTTATATATAATTTTAGTATATTATAAAATCAATGGTATTACGTATTTACAATTTTGTAGCGACGAGAAATATCATTATCATTTATCATGATATCAGGATTTCCCCATAATAAGTAATAAACTAATGGCTAATAATATATGCCATATGCGAATAATGTTCATTTATAAACACAGAATTGAAAAATAATATTTTTGCTATATTTTTGAAATCTAAATCTACTAAAAAAAAGTATTCGAAAAATATTTGGAATACTTTTTGTGAAGTATTCCAAATACTTAGGAATATTATTATTATAAAGTATTCGAATACATATTCTGAATAATTTTTTCTAAAGTATTCCGAATATGTATTTGAAATACTTTTTAAAAGTATTTTACTCAAGTCTGCTGTTGATAAAAATAAAATGTAAGAATCAATCAACCTTTTTTATTTCTTCAATATTTTAAACAATTTTTTACACTCGAAATCTCATTGTTAAATAACTAGGGTGGGTACGACGAAAGCGGGAGATTCCAGACAGTTGATATAATCATCATCAATTAATGATGTTATTTGAATTATATGTATGGTACATATTGTAATCCCGAAAAATATTTTCGGGACACCCTGACAGAGTTTAAAAAATCGGTACGTTTGGATACCCTGGTCCATATTATACCCAAACTTACTGCATACCCAACTCGGGGCACTTAATTTCGAGGTAAAATGTATTACTGCACGTCCGTTGTCCTATTTAGGCATAACGAATACATACAATTAACGAGAAACTGACGACTATAGATCTATGTCACATGAGCACACATTACTCATAAATAATTTTTTGGCGTTTCCAGTGTGTGATAAACATTAATAACCAACAAAATATTTGTTTGACTTTTTTTTAGTTTCCTCGCTTCTCTTTAAAAAAAGGGGTTAAAAAAGTTTCAGCGGTATTACTATAATAGTAAGTTGTGTATTACTTATACAGGGTGATTTTTTAAGCATACCCACTCACCCTATTTGAATGCTAATTACACATGATTTATTCGAATTCTGATTTTTAGTATCTTTCAATACACCCGAAGGCCATATTTTCGAATAGTTGAGATTTTTTTTGTACCACTAAAGGATGGTTCTGTGACAATGTTAAATCATGTTTTTTCAAATAGGAACCCCACCACCCCTCCTCCCTAACACTTTTAATCACTCGGCAGATAATTATTTTCAGGTATCTAAATCAAATTTTAACGAGCCGTTTTTGAGTTGTGTGATATCTTTGTATAGGTACTAAGAATAATAGTCCATGGTAATGGGTTCCGTAGATCGGGGCCTTAGATAATTTCAAAATGTTAGAAATTATAGCACTTATTACTACAATTGATCTATCAATATATTAAACGATTTGTAATAGTTATCATTTTACCAGCTGTTGTATATTCTTGGAAGTCTAAGAGTGCCAACCCTTCTACACGTTCTGTACTAGCAATTATGTGTACCCACACCATTATACCGTATTCCCGTTCATCGGTGTAATTTATCGCCTTTCAGTGAGGTGTAATTCGCTCTCGCCACGTAAATAAATAAACACCACGCCAAACATATTATGATGGGGACTATTAATTGTTGGTGTACGATTTATAATTTCTGATTATTTTTTACTCCGATAATTCAATCGTCCGTAAACGAAATTCGCCCGTACACGCACTGCAGAGTGTTGGAATAATAATTGTACCACGCAGACTGCTCGCCGAGCATGACATTGCAGTGTGATGTATTTATGCAACTATGTATAATAGCCGACTACAGTGATGGCGGTTCTGCATGAAGGCCCTCGGAGGACATTAATTCGCCGAGATTAAATTATTATTATACCTACGATGGTCACTATTTTATGTATACCTCGAAAACCGCGTAGATCGTAGTGTTATATTGTTATGGTATATTAAGAGATCGTTTCAAAGTTTTGCTTCTCAAAAAATTTAAAAAAATTTAAACTGTAAATCATGGTCGATACAATATTGTAACGCATGTGTCTAACTGCAATCTAATTTCATTTGCCCGTGAGACCTGTTATACAACTTACCTCCAACAAATTAATATTAATCGCCTGTTACGCCTGCCCTCAACAATATAATATATAGGTCTAGATACGCTAATAGCTGAGCGCATAAGTATGTTTTCTTTTGGCTTCTTCTTGCAGTTTTCTAACGCCAAAATTAAACGATTTTTGCTCTCCGAAAAAATTGCTCTTGAATAGACGAGTTATAATAACACCGAAATTGAGTCAGTAGGCACATATTTTATCACAAATCGTGTAAAAATAATAATGTTAAGCACCGTTTATAATACAGTTTTCAGTAAAAAAAAAAAATACAGAAATAACAAATAATTCTGATTTAAAAACGTTCAAACCTAAGCCGTCTAATCAAGTTGGGTTGAAGTTAGTAATATGAATACAAAAACAATTTTGAATAATTGCAAATACATTCAACATGTTTTAATATATATATTTTTTTTTTATAACATTGAATATTTTAATTCGTGCAATGAATAAAATAACAGTAAACATTATTTAAATTTCAAAATATTATTTAGAATTCAAAACAACCAAACGAATGAGTACATTTTCCCGCTACAACGATTTCACTGAATTAAAACATAATATCTGTCTTCATTCAAATACGTTTTTTAATCGATCTTAACTTCGCGTTGATGATTTGGCCATTAAAGCGCCATAGAAGTAGTTTACATTATAATAATTATACAATCATACTGCCATCATGATAATGCTGTATGCATATGAACGAAGAAAAATAAAATGAACAAACTTAATATCACGGGCAAAATTTTTACGTAGGTAATAAAGTTTACAAAGTTTGATAATATGGTTATGCATAAGTAGGTTATAAGTATACGGGATGTTGGTATATTTGAAAAATATATAAATAAATTGTCTTCGCCGTAGGTTAATTACAATTTTAAATAAAAAAAAAAAATTTAAAACAAAATGAACGGATAAAACGTCATTTGCAGCATAATATGGTATACATTATTAATTATAATATTATTAATATTTGAATTCATTTAATTGCTTCAACGATAATTACAAATTTAAACATCATTAGAATTATAATACCAATATCCATATAATATTTGCATTGATGAGTTGATGACTCCGGGGGTCATCCATCACATATTATAATACAATAATTTTAACATTGATCATTATACCTATTTAATATTGTAATTTTTCGTCGTAGAGATGTTCGTTATAAATATATTTTTTGATTTTACGAGTTAAAAAAAGAGAAATATTTGGAAATACCAATATAAATATTTATTATTGTGGATTTAGAAGACCTCAAAAGTTAGAAAAAAAAAGAACGTGTCCTTCCTAGATTATAATATTTACAATACATTTATGCAGGTAACCTACCTACAGTAATTGAGGACTTGTTTTCATAATTGGTACACGTTTTCGTCCTCTATACTAATTTCCATCATATTATTATTAGCTTACTTCAATGTAGGTTATTTAAATAATTTAAAGTAACCGTTTTTAAATATATTTAATTGTTTTATTCATTTAATAAGATGAGTTGGATTATTATAGTTTATTCAAAATTGATTTTAATATCATAGCGTCTATGACATTGATTGAAAAATCACTTTTGATTTGTTTTTACGACTGTTTTCATAGGCTTATTAGATTTTAAATGGGACATTTCTAAAAAATAAGTATTTTAGTGTGAGTGGTTTTTTAGAAACTATAATAGGTACCTACATATAGTTATATTATTATATACTCGGGTCAATTTATAAATGGAGCTCAATAATTTTCGGTTACTTGTTTTTTATAGTTGGTAAAAATATTAAGTGATTTCAAAAAGCTTTTTGATTCTAAAACAAATGTTGGAGGTATTGATTTTAAAATAATATTATGTGCTTTTAATTATTATCTTAAGTGCCGCTGTAGAACGGAAAAAAGTTTCATACAACGCCTTTATTGGCACGAATTTGATTGAAATGAAACATATATAGTTGTATTTATTGGAAATCCTCAAAAGTTTTTTAAAAAAATTGCGTTAAATCTATGGTTAATAATGTATACCTATTCGTTGAAATTCAATAGTCTATGAGGAAGTTTGTAATCGATTTAAACTTTTAAAGTCGAGTGGGTGGTTGAGAAAACGATGAGTTCAATTGTTTCGAGTCAAAGGATCCATCAGAATAGAGGTCACTGGGGCATGAATAAAACAGTAAAAAAAAAGATAATTCAAAGGGTCTAAATACTGTTAAAGAAAACGCATTTCATATTGTATTTAAAATATCGACAAACATATGAAACTTATAGATAATCGCATTTATCAAACATTTTAATGAAAGAGTGTTTCTAATATAATGTTTACAACACTACTTAGTACTTAGTACTTACCCACCTACTATAGTTGAATCGGTGCTATACGACTTAAAAACAAAATTTAATTATCACATAGCCGTTCGAAAATCGTATAAATATAATCACTATAGTATAATATTGTGCTACTGTAACGTATTAGACGAAGACGTATTATAACTGATGAAATCTTGGAATGCAAAATAAGTCTTGAGTTTAACATGAAATATTATAATACAACGTATAATGATAGAATTTATATTTTGTTATTTTTCAACAGACTTTATTCGATTGAAGAAAACCACCAGATTGCAATCATAGGAAATTTGATGCAGCCAAGCGGATCAAACGTAAGTTGATATGAAATTTTAACTAGAAATAATATGTAATTGTATGTTACACAGAAGAAGGTATTTAAAAAAAAAAAAAAAACTATCTCATTGCAAATTATTGACATCCATACATTTTAATTTTTAATTGTTTTATTGAGTTAAAGCTTCAACATCTGAGGTCCTTAGCCTGGGTTGTTTAGTAGGTTTATTACTGTGGGGGAAGGTACGTCTTGGTCAGAACACGTGTATACATGTGGCGATGATTTGTCATTAAAAACCCGGGTGGTCACCCATCCAGGAACTAGTGGCACCGAGCCGATGCTTGATATCAGAACACGTCAGTGACTGTGCCACACCATCCACTACTCATATATTATGTCTTTATTGATTTATTCGAAATCTTAGTCAAACAGAAGAGATATATTATACTGTTTGATATTGAGCGGAAAAACTCGTTCGATATGCTATTAAAGTTAAGCTTATTTCCGAAATAATTATTGTCAATAGAACTAGTATAAGTAAATATGAAATTTTTGATGAGCTCCATGTCTACAATAATACATTATGTGAAGTCCATTTAAACGTTATTTTGCAACCAATCGGCAAATTTCAACAATATCGATTTCATAGAATCTTTTTTTTAAATTTATTAGTATATTCACGATCTCTAATTCATGTACAATAAGTAAATTTGGTAACTAAAACAAAGACTTAACAACATGAATTAAGAGGGGGAAGAGGAGGAGTAGTAGTGTTCACACAGATCCTCCTCTGCTGTCGGTTCAAACGGAAAAAAAAAAGAGGTGGAAGAGAGGAATGCTAGTGTGGAAATCTTTCGACTTGACTGAATGTTAAATACTTTTTTTTTATACATAATATCTTATATGTAAAATAATTTACAAACCAACATGTGCAAGCTTTTTCTCACTCATATTATACACCCATATAATGCGATATATTACGTGGCATTATATCAGTATAATGATGCCCACTTAGACATGAAAATACTAACCAACGACATTGTATATTGTTCTTTTGAAAACGGCAAGGAAAAAAAGTTTAGTGGCAACCACTATACAATATTCGACCACACGACGACGAAATCGTTCGTGCATTTGGAACTTCAACGGGCCGCGTGGCGTTAGCATGCAGTCTCTCATTATTGTCGTCATATTGTCCCAACAACTGTTGAAAGATACAAATAAATTTACTATTTCCGCGTTAAACGTCTGTAAGCGAAGGAGAAAACGGAATGACAAGTGGAAAAAAAGCACCAAAGTCTCTCTTAAAGTCCACTGAGTGTATGATTATAATCGTTAAAACCAAACGTTACCGTCGCAATGCAATATGAAGGCGCCTACGTGTTATAACATTATATTTATGCGGAAAACCGCACACGCAGCTGATGCTAATACGTTTCGCTCTCCTGCCCGACATCCAACCCTGACCAAACATCCCCCCCCCCCCCCCCAAGCCCGACTTCCGGTCCCGGCTCTTGCATCGTGCACTCGGGGGCGGGTTCAGGGTGCCGCCGAGTCGTGTACAGTTGCGGGGCGAGTATAATTTACTTGTATTAGTATCGTAACATAATACGAGCACCGTAAAAAGTCGAGATCAATAGAAACACACAGAGAGAGACAGAGAGAGAGAGAGAGAGACCTACGGACAATATCATCTCGTTCTAGACTGTCGCTAATGAGAGCACTGTTAAAGAATGACTCCGACGCATATAGGCGTTTTTCGATGGACAACAATGATTGGTCGACGCGGCGGCTGTTTTTCTACTCGTGGACGACACGTTCGGATAGGACGTCATACGCATTCAAGTGTGGTCGAAGAGCGTACCGTAGTTACCAAAGCGGTTGTACGTCGTGCAATCAAAGTCGTTATGTTATCATCTCTGCCCATAATGATATGACTTCGAAATACATAATATGATAATATTTAAAAAAAAAAAAAAAATGATATTTAAATTAATCGGATTGAACGTTTGGTTGCGATTTTTTTTTCTGTATCATAAACCGCAACTTCCCGATATAGCCACGATGGCAACTGGGAGACTATTCTACCACAGAAGGTATACCGCGTTTATTCGGTAGAACGTATCAAAGAGGTATGTGTCCTATCCTATGTGTATTATCTATGATTCTGCTATCGCGCTAATCACCGTCGTAACTTTTTTTTAAAATTGTTTTTTTTAGAACAATATATTTACGATCCATACAAATATGGAATAATAATAATAATGAGTAAGCTTGATGACACATTTTTGACAACGACATATATTTAATATTCGATTTAGGAAGGCTCCCGGCGGTGCCACCTGACAAGCTCAAGTTGATATTATCACGATTCGTTGTAATTATTGAGCAATCTTATTATTGTGGTGCAGACGATGGCGGGTAGGGCAAACTTAATTTGATGTCTGTGGTTACAACTAGAGATGGAATATAACAGAAATCTGTGGCATAACGTAATATGCAAGCAACATTTTATATTATAAATTTATATTGGGCGTATAAAACTCAACGATGTGACTCTATATCTCCTACGAAAACATTCTACCCACTGTCTTGTGTGTATATAATATTTAAGGTGCTTCCCGCGCCCCCTCCCACAGCTCACATCGACGCGGCTGATCATCAAAACAAAAACAGAACTAATATTATAATACTATACCTAGGGTACCTACACTTATCATAATATTATAATGTATGACCAAAAAGCAAAACACTACGAATTTCTCGACGAAATCGGTGCGCGGTTTGTCGCTGGACGAAATTCGGCACTTGCTCCGTGCCATGGATGTTTGGATAAGGTCCGATTAGATTTTTTTTTTTTATAATTTACGTGTTTCGACTCGGCGACTACGGTCAGTATTCGTCGAATTTTCGTACCGATCTGCCCTGCACGAATTCCCGTGTACATAATAGTAGGGTAGGTCATCGATATTATTACAGCTCGGTCGTTTATTGTTTTTTTTTGCGACGAGAATTTTCGAACAAATACTAATTTTGGCGGTCTTATCGTTTTTTTCAGGTCATATACGTATCAATTAAACCATATCCAGTGCTAAAAATTGTTTCAAAGAGCTCCATCCTATGATTAAAAAACCATGTTCTGAGTGCAAAATTATTCAACACGCCCGTGAGGGAAGAGAGGGGAGGGGATTACTCCATTTCCATTTGTAAAACATTATAATAAACTCAATTCAGCGCAAACACATATGACAGTCGTACCACTTAGTTTTATTTAAATAATACAACTCAATAACACACAGTAACTTAATACAATGAAGGAACATTACATAAAAAATACATGATACAGGGTTAGACACCTAAGCTGTGTCGCTTCTGACGCACGCGCACACGCACTGTCTCTCTGGATACGTGTGGACTGTCCTCGTCCAACGTTCCTCTCCAGTGCTGACACCATACCCACTTGGTTGTACAAATATATAACACATTTTTTATATATGAATTAAAAACATAGTTCATAAACATGGATTTACGTTCCCCCCGATATTCAACTATTAAAATATGTAGTTGTCACTTATACAATAGATTTTATTGAATAATCAAAATTTCCATTTTGATAGTCGAACCAGTAACCATAGTCATCAACACTTTTATTCAACGTGTTGTTAATAAAAAAAAATATTAATAAATAGGTAAGTAATAACAAAAGACGCGTTTTGGCGGTGAAAGTTTTGAGCAGATTGTTTACTAGTTTGAGAGAACAAACTAATACCTAATTAGCTAAACGCTAAATTAAGCTAACGCCTAATGTATTATTATGGCTTTTGTTGAGAGTGAGAGATCGTTTCTGGACGGACGGAATGAGTCTCCACAACCAGCTTCACTATAAGAACTGTAGAAACCGCGTAAGCGTACTATAAAATAAACTAAATTAACTAAAATAAAAATAAAAAAAGCTTATAAAAATACGTTTTTCATTTTTAAATTAATTTATTGGTAGTATCATTGACAAAAATTGAAATCCACATTTCATGACAAATTAATTAGGGAATTAGTTTGTGCCTTTGCGGTTATCGATGCAGTAAAATAATAATAGTTCCATGAAAAAAAAATAGCAGATCAGCTCCCTTGGACACCCCTTACCCACCAACAATTCGATCACTGGATTATATGTAACAAACAAAAATATTATAAATGCAATACATTTAACTATAGTCAATATTTAAATTTGTTTTCGTTCATATAATTTATAAACGCTTGTACCGTATTTATAATTTTTTTAAATAAAAAATTTGATTAAAATTACTCATATTTTGGAAAAATTTAAAATAGTCAACTCTGTAAATCTGATTATAAGAACAATTTTGATGATCAAAACATACATCAAGTCAAGTAGTTTTTTTATTTTTGAATTTTTAGAATATCAATATCTTTTTGGGGTAAATAAATTTAAAACTATTAATAATAACTATATTAATAATATTACTTCAAAATATTTTATTTGGGAATTTCTCGACAACAAGTATATTTCTCATACCATCTATATAATATTCAACATTTTGAGTCATACGTTTAGCTGGCATCAATTTTTTTCACATCTTTCTGTAACAACCTGTATATTATAATATCGTTCGAATTAAATCCATACGACTGATGGCACGAAGTCTTTATACAAACATATCAGGTATCAGAAGTCTTAAAATCTCAACTCCGAAATGGGTGCGCCGAGTGCTGACAAACGAAAGTCACTGCAGTCTTATAGTGTATTGTAAATGTCCCCGATTTATTTGATAAAAATAAAAATTTTACAATTATAAGACGTCATGATATAATATGCATAGCGTTTGGTGGTGTGACACTTTACGGGATCATATAAAATGTCATCTATAAGTTTATAATAAATATTAAAGTAAGTACCGTTTATGCTCCGTACTACGATATTATATAACATGATTTATGATGCACGACGTCTATTTATATCATGTTTATAATATGTGGATGTACGTCATCCGTATACTATTTCCATCCATTTGACTAATC